AAAAAAAAAAAAATCAAATGGTAGCTGAAGTGACATTGTAGCTGTGATGGGCCAGGAAGTATGCAAGACGCAAAGATTTTTGTGGGTGACATATTTACTGGACCTGGGGAAGGGGTCTGTGGTACCTGAAAGCTTGTCTAAGCCTATCCCAGTCATGAAGTTGATCCCATAAAAGAAATCACCCACAAAAATCCTTCCCTCTAAAAAAGAAATAAATAAAATGCATTTTTTTTTGTTTCAGCTTCAACCCATTTCAAATTCATTTTGAAATCCTGACAGCCTGCGGTAAGGCCTAACCCAGTATGGATTAAAATAAATTTAAATTCAATTACAGATATTAAGCAGTACTTGTTTGCTGCCCAAGTCAACACATTCAACTGGTGGAAGCCGCCCACTAAGCACCAGGGCCCAGAATCTGCTGAAGTGCTGAGCCGACTGCTGCAGGTGCAGAGAGGCTGTTTTCTTTATTTCAGTTGAGTCACTGAATACAGTTCAAAGCCTAGTCCAAAGCTAAAGAACCAATTAGGACTTGGGGGCAGGGAGTCAGGCAAGCTTATTCTTCTCTTTTAATCTAGAGCCAGAATAATAAATATACTAAATACTTTTAAGCTAGGAATAAAGAGTAGGTGAGAGAACCTGAGATTCGCTAGTTCTAAAATCGTGAAAGACGCGGTAACCAGAAACAATTCAGTCCAGTAGAAATTAAGCACGGGCTTAAACGCTTCTAGCTGCGGTCGGTTTTAAGCATGTGCTTAAGCACTGTGGACTTAAATGCGTTCCCAAACCAAGGCCCTGCAGACTGCATTCCTGGCATTCATGCCACGTCTGGGAGGCTGACAATGGGCATGTGAAAATATAATGGCTTATAAGCATGCATTTTGGTTGAAAGGTAGCAAAAAACAGCCCCGATTCCACACTGTTATTTTGCATCCTGCAGGGTTAAAAAGCATGCATTTCGGTAGGTTTTGTTCCATCCCTGTATAGGTAACCACAGAGAAGCAACAATAGTTTAAAAGTGCGTTACAGAAGTTCCACTTATGCACCAGTGCTACTTTCTACATGGAAAAAAAATGTTTAAAAAAAAAGTGAAAATTCTCACCAAGTCGGTACTGAGCCACTCCTCAATGTCATCCATGACAGAGGACTGTGCAACGGGGATCTATGGAGTGCAGCAAGAGATGCGGCAAGGCAGGCAAAAACCAAAACACATCCACAATCGTGGCCAGAGAAGGATGGGAAATGCCAGAAATAAGATTTAAAAAAAAAAAAAAAAAAAAGATGTAAGATGCATTGGAAAAAAATCCAAAAAAACAACCAGCAACAAAATACAAATGCACTCAAATAAAGCAACACTCAAAAGGTAAATTATGCGCAGCAAGGCTAACAAAACCAAAAACAAAGGTTAGGGGGTGGGGGTGATGCGACTGGATGTGAGTACAAAACGGATAACTTTTTGACCACTCGTTAAAGCCGTCAATACGGACCGCTGGGTCTACTCTTGATCACGTAACGCTTTTAAGGCTAGAATATTGGATGAGAATTCTCTTTACATCATATCAGCTTCATACCCTTGCTTTAAGGGGCTGTTGTGTGTTGCTGGTCCCGCACGAACAGACTCAAAACCTGCAGTCTTTCCACAGGTAACAGTTGAAGCCAATTTGTCTAGTCCCTCCAGCGAGCGAAAAGTGCCCAGCCTGGCCACAGGACGGATACATTCTTCAGAATCAAAGGAGAGTAGACAGAATTGTTCCCTACTCACGGGATTTTTCTCCACCACAACCAAAAGTAGTTTGAAATGGCGTGTGCACTAAAGAAGACTTGGTGTGGTTTGTGGTTCCTTTCCTCTTAAACCCACCATGATATATCACCCTCCCTAGCTTTGTAACTGGGATTGAGGTGGAGCTGGCAGGCTATGTTAGGAATAACGAGATGTCGCAAATTCACCTGGGTCAGCGAAGAGAAATTATTTGTTTCCTAGGTTCAGAACTTCCTGTACAAATATATTGATCTAACTTCAGAGGAGGCCATGCAGTAGCAAACAGGAAAGCAGTGCAATCAACTGAGATACGGCTTTCCTCTTTGGATAGCAATGCATTAACAGGTCCTAGGCCAAAGTAGCACAGCTGTTGTGCCAGGGCGGGAGGCTGCCGATCAGATGAATGCTGAGCAGTTTCAAAACTGTCTTAGGGAGAAGATGAGATTCCCAGGAACCATCCAGGGTGTTGCTTGTCAGGGAGGCAAGCTAACACAGAGAAGAGGGCTTGCAGAAATCTCTGGAGTTAGTTCCACCAGAATTGTAGGCTCATAGGAAAGGCAGGCTGGAAGGGACCTCAGAAGGTCATCAAGTCCAGTTACTTACTCACGGGGTTCCCCGGGGAAAGATGGCTAAGCCCCTGGAGAGCTCAAGGGATACAAGCCAAGATGTTCCTTCTGAAAGATTCTTGTTCTGCATCCATGACCCTTTAAGGAGCCTCGGGTCAATGACTGCCAGCGTCACTGCCCCACGTCAGACCTACCCAGCAAACCACAGGTAGTGTCGAGGGACCCAGCAGAGTGTAGGAGAATGGCAAGTTTCCACTCCAGGATAGAGGTGACAGCCAGAGGTTTAAAACCCGAGGGGATATGGTGCACTCAATAGGCTTGGCAGCCTATTGCCTGGTGACCGGCAGTGACATCAAAGATCCCGAGCAGAAGACAAGCACCTGCAGCTCACGTTGGGACAGGCCACATTGCTGCTTGGGACGAGTCTCCTTGTTACATCTGTGATGATAAGTGGAACTGAGGATGTCTTGTTTGAAGGCAACGTTTCCAAGCTGCCGTGAGCTAGCCAGGAGGGTCATTAACAGGAGCAGAGACACTGAACGCAGTTCTTCATGTGCTGCCTCCCAAGGACAAGTCCTATCCTGCAGAACTGACTTGCCAGTTTAAAAGCTTCGGAGATGTGACTGGTTTCAGATAGCAGGCACAAGACAATGCTGGGAAATTATTCAGCCTGCAGCAACTTAAAAACCATAACCCGAGTTTTATTCTCTCACCCTCTTCAATGCATTACTTGCTGCAGCCTTCAGAGATAGGAGTTCATTTGCCTCTTGGAAGGCTCTGTGTTTCCTTACAGATGACAAAGGGAGAAGCTTTGGGAATTATTAAAGTGCCTGGAGTAATAAATAACTAATGTGCTGCCTTTTTCTTACAGCCAGTAGAAATTTGGGACCTATCTATGCTGGAAGACTCCAAGGGTGGCTGGAGAGCTAACATGCTTGCAAGGACTGCACTGTGGGAGGAAAACCTGATTAGCTGAGAAGAGAAGCAAGTTTTATTCCGTCTCAGCCCCACCAAGGTTAGTTTTGCTTTCACATTTCACTCACCACTGCGAGAAAAACCCTCCCTGCTGAGGGGTCAACCTGCCAGCTCCCTTTAATGAAGCGCAGTCCACAACCAAGACTTCCAAGGAACCCACCAGTAACAAAAAGCAGGGGAATATATTCAGATCCCTGATTTCTAAGGCAAACCATAAACCCAAGTGAACCCCCCTCCTCAGCCTTCTTTATATACCACAAGGGCAAAGAAGGGCTTGAGCCCAGTTCTTGCTTTCCTAGTTGCCTTTACTGAATACAGACAGATGCAAGAGGAAGGCGCCTTGGTAGTGTTGGCTGCTCACTTCCACAAAATTAACCCTTCCAAGCAGCTATCCCGCTATTGGTACCAATTTACAGATTAGCCGAGTGGTTCTTCCATTACCTCCTGATGCACTAGGATCAATTAGGATCATCTAGATCAGGGGCGGGCAATTATTTTGGGTGGAGGGCCGCATGATAGGCAGTCAGGGGCAGATAACTATTAATTTTCTAAATTTTTTAGGAGTCAAATAGAATGGCCTGGCGGGCCGCATCTGGCTCCTAGGCCACATTTTGCCCGCCCTGATCTAGATCAAGGACAACATGGGGCGGGGGGTGGGCAAACTACATTAGATGCTTTCAAACGCTTCTAGTATATTAAGATGCTTTAAGTGAATTTGAAGCTGAAATTTGGCTTAGAATCACAGGCAGCTGGCAAGTGTGCGGGAGGGTTTTTTCCCTTTTCAGAAGTGTGGCTCTGTCACAGTTCAAGAATGGGAAGAATCTTCTGCTATATAAAGGCCTCACGCCCCTAAACCATTTTTTTTAAAAAAAGGTGAATTTCCATATTAAAATAAGACTGGGATTTCTGGGAGTGACTAAGGCACCAGCCACGGCAGTGGTGGCTTAGATGGAAATGGCTCTGGAAGAGGATGCCATCCGGCCAGGTTTCTGAAGTATGCAAGCCTGCACTGTCCAATGAAGCTCCCTTTCTCAGCAAGGCATCCCCCTGAATTGTCACTGCGGCTGACAAGCCAATTATTTCATATTGTTAATGCGAAGGATTGTTTTTAAGTTTGTATATCTGTAAAACGGATATTAGCCCATACAACATTCACACACTATTCGCTTTTTAATTGAAATTAATTCTGTAGGACTTATCATTCAGAGGTCTTTTTGATTTTGTGGCGTATTCCCAAGCCTAATGCAATCACGTAGGCAGCCCAGGAGGAGAACAAGGGCAAACTTTTCCACCTGCAGAAAATCAAAGGAAACTTGGAATTAAGCCCTTGTTTGAAGTCTGATTGTGTTTGTGCTTTCATGAGCAGTAAAGAGCTGTCAAAAAAGTTTTGCCAAAATATTTCCTTAATGACGGTAAAATCCAATAGTCTACCCTTAAAAAGACCCTCTCTAAGGTTATTAGCGCCACATTAGGTTTCTATTGAATATGTTCCCACTGGAGAAGCAGCAGGTATGAAATGACAATTCAAGTCTCTAGGTGAACTCATTAATGCTTTCAGAATGTTTAACAAGGTTCAGACTAATTGTTGCTAGACTAGAGTCTTGTGGTAGCTTAGCTGATTCTATTCTTTTCTGGGTACTTAATGCAACCGACACCAGTACTTGCCTGGCTGCTGTTCACTTCTTCCCTTTGTTAGCAACAAAAAGCGTTTCTCGTTCCATGTAATATGATAGCAGAAGCGGACTGATATTGCATGTCTTAGGGCTCTGTGTCAGATTGCTGCTTCCGTTCTTACCGTCACCTTAAAGCCGCAGTGATCCCAGCAAGGCTTCTTACCCTCATTAGGAAAAGGCCAACGTGACCCTAGGATGGAACAGTCAGTACTTCCAGGAGAGGATGGGCACTGGTGAGACCTCGTTTGGAAGAACGTGCAATTCTGGCCACCCAGGTTCAAGGAAGGCTAATTCAGACTGGAAGAGGAGCAGTAGAGTGGAGAGCCTGCCACCTGTAATGCAGCTGGAAGAGACCTTGTAGATCATCTGGTCCAGTCCCCTTGCAGTAGGCCGGAAAAGACAACTGGGGTCAAGTGACCCCAGCAAGGTGACTGTCCACTCTCCTTTTGAAGATTTCAAAAGGAAGAAGTTGGCTCATGTGGTCTCCAAAGTGAAGGTCGAGAGGGGACCTGACTGCTATCTGCAGACAGAACAGGACAGGAAGCATGATAGAGGAAGAGCTATTGAAGAAGACAAAGGACAAGACTTGCTCAAGAATGGACAGGAATGAACTTAGTCTGGAAATGAAAAGGTGGTTTTGACTCAGTAAAGCCGTGAGGTTCTGGGAGAGCCTTCCAATCCAAGTCCTGGAGGGGGAAAGCCTATCTACTTTTGAGATGCAGCTTAATGGAGTTTGTGAAGGGAATTAAGTGCTGTGATGCCTTGGACAGCAGGAGACTGGACTCTGTGACCCATATCCTCCCAGTGCATATGCACTTTAGATGCAAACAAATTAATTAGCTACCGGATTATTTTCAACTCATTACAATAATCCATGTACAGTGTAGGTGATAGCTGATGTGCGCTCTGCTCACTAAGCGTGGCCGGTTGTGTGAGAGCCCTTGTTGGTGAGATGCAACATGTAATGGGTTTGCGTCCTACCCTTGAGCCCAGGCAACGGAAATCATTGTTCATGTAGGCAGCTAGTCTCTTCGCTACATTAGAAGGTCGCTGGCAGACAAGGAAAGTGATATGGTCTTCAGAAAGCAGGGACACGAATGGTTTTGCTTCGCTAAGGGTGGGGAGATGGGTCCTGCCACTAAGAAGGCAGAAAAAGGTCTTTGAAAACCCTGGCCAAGAGCTCACCTGGCAAGTCTGAAGCTAGTGCACCAAGAACTGAATGCTCTTGCCTTGCCTGTGACACAAGAGGGCAAGACCAGGCTCCAAGGAACCTCTGGGAAGAGGACATGCCTCATCTGCCCCACATCACACAGGCCATTTCCCCATCCCCCTTTTGGTCTGGGCAGACCAGGTAGCCCCCTACTTTGCTACCAACATCCCAGTACCAGCCCCGAAGGAATCACTTTGTTTTCTGAAAATCTCCTCACTGCTGAGCGGAACAGACCTGCCTTCCCCCCCATCCGTCCACTCACCCCAGCCAGGTGGGCCACTCCCAGGGCACGCTGGGTTTAGCTTTTGGTTGATTCTGGTCTGGTTTTATCTTCCCAAACAATTTGTTTGTCGACAGACCATCTTATGCAATATCTGCATTTACCGTGTGTCGCAAGCGTCCAGTTGGTGTGCTGCTAGGTAGCACACAGATTGTTTAAGCCATCGCACGTCTTTGTGCTGGCTGCTGTCCAAAGCCAGGAGAGGAACTGGAATTACCGGCACTGAAATGGTGCTTGCCCTACATTCAGCCTCTGCCTGAAGGGTTTGGCTATGCTTAAAGAGGTTTGATGGTCTTGCCCTACTGCAAACTCCGGCAGCGCAGACAACAGCTCATGTTGGCCAAGAGAGTTTTTAATCAATGGAGCTCAAACTAAGAGCATCTGTGCTGGGGGTTTTTTGCTAGGATCACACTGTTGGATAGGGCTGTGTATTTTTTTTTTTGCCAAGAAAATTTTCAAGCTGAGCGAGTTTCTTCAAGGTTAGACTAAGAAACTCAAGTTTCTTAGGAGAAAACATCACTGAATTTCTAAGAGAGACTGTCCAGCAAGGGTCCCTATGAAGGCAGGTGATTAACCCAAGAGAAGCCCATCCTACTGTGGAAAGATGGCAACACCAGGTTTCATTTTGCAGCAGCGATCAGAGTGATGCCCTGGCACTCTTCTAAAAGTTAACTGCTCTTCATTAATAGCCCTAACACTGCCTGGACAGAAACTTTGTCCCTCTTTTCCATAGCCCAATAGTACAAAAAGTTACCAAAGGATCTGCACACACGGTAGTTCAGGACAAGGATGCTAGTTATTCCACTGATACTGTAAATACTAGAACATGGTATTAATAAGTATGGTTAAGAACTACAGCCACTTGGAGAAACTGGGTTAATGATTAGTCCAGTTTATTGCGGGGACGTTTATCTGAGATGATATATATCATTATACAAAGGAGCGTGAGTAGCTTGTGAGGGCAGACGCTGGTGCCCAGCTGATACTGGGACCGCCAGACCCCCAAGAAGTCTTTGCGCCTCCATGAACGCTGCAGTATCCTTTTTTCCAGGCTGAATAACCACAAGCCAGTAAGCGAATATGGAGTTTGTTTTCTTACTAAAGCCCTGGCCTGAGCGGTGGGAACAGCAGGGGTGCAGGCTTCATGCTTCCCTGCACTTGTAAACAGTGGAAAAGAAAACAAGGGGAACTCCCTGCATCACTGGGCTATTCATAAAGGAGGAGCATCTAGCAAAATGGGATAGCAAAATAGGACGGTGTGCCTAGCGCTGCAGCCACCCTGCAGATCAGCAAGGGGTCACAGTGAGCTGCATCCAGTGCCCCGTTGAGGAAAGTAGGTGTCATTTGTTCTGCAGCTCTTTAAAATCTGAAATGATTAAATGGGGAGTGTTCAAATCATGGGATAAAGACAAGTGCCTGGTATGGGGTTTACCTGTGTGCACCTCACAGGCCCACAGCCAGCCAGCAGACATCCAGGTGCTGGCAAGTGTCTGCAGCTCAGGTGCTATGCCAGTCACAGTATCTACAGTTTGGAGACACACCCCAGCTTAGAAAACCAGGCTCGCATTTCACTCCGTGGATGCACATGGATGCCATGTGCCTTGTACTCCCCTGGGCCTTCTTTGGTCTGCAGCCTCTTCCTCCCAACATGTCCCTTTTACACGCTGCTGGAGTTGGACCATCCAAACCCACTGGATTTCTGTGGGGACTCCCACAAACTAACCAGAGCCAGGGCAGGCTTGGGAAGCCCCAATCTCAAAGCTGGAAAGGCAGAAATCTCAGCCCGCTTCCAAATCAAGGAACTAAAGTTTACACACCAAGAGTGACCCTGTCTGGAGCGATTCAGACTTCGGCCCCTCCTTATAGAGGCAGGCAGCATACAGATTTTTAAAAACCAGGCCACATAACCAGTACTGACCCCTCAAACACACAAAAAAGAGAAAATCACAAGCAACCCCCCCCTTCCCCTGAAAAAAAAGACTCAGACTGGCTTAAAAACCAGTCCGAAGTCAGTCGCTGTCCTCCTTATGCCCTTCCACCCTGGTTTGGAGCCTTTGGGTTGCACTTAAGTTATTATTTTAAAGCTTTCTCCCTAACTGTACGGGGGAGAGACTCGAATGCTCAGATTCTCGCTGAACCTCAGAAGCTGGTGATTTAAGTGAACAGACCGGTGTCACTGGACTTCCAGCCTTACAATCTATGACTTGCCATAAAATTGCAGGAGGTGGAGACACTGCACTACGTCCTCCTAATTCAGACAAAACTCCCCAAAAGGATGTTTGCCAGAGCTTGTGAACACACCCTTGTTTTCAAGTACGCAGGGAGAGAGGAGCACGCAGAGAAGCACCTTTTTTTATTGCTGTTTTGTCTAATGAAGTTTGATCCTGCAGCCTGTGTTTATAGCACCCCATGGAGTCCAGTGCTGCAGGGCTGGGCTACTAGGAACGTGGGAGACGTCCCACCCCTGGATTATGTACGTGGAACTTGTGTTTATCCTTGAAAAGTGGATACTGCATCTATAAATCGAGACAGTAAAAGGAACAAACAGGCCCTCCAGCCCCGTCTCTCGGGTTTTGGGCAGCACGGAAATAATTGAAGGACACACCCTCACCCCCCATAATTACTCTTTACCTTTCCCCTAGAAAATTAGGCAGGTGGGAAGCAAAGTCCTTGTACTGTCTGATTTGTGGTTGATCAGTAGGCTGGGTGAGAGGTACACAGAGGATGGTTATTCTATGTAAGGAACTGGGGTGGGCAACAGGGTTCATTTTACTGGTGACATTCTCACCATTCCTTGTGTAATTAGCCACTTGTCTATGGGCTCCATGTCTGAGTTCCCACCTTTACCTCTCCTCTGTGTCGAGAACAGAAAGTCCATAGAGAGAGAAACCACAGCAACACCCATAAGGACGGAACAGACACAAGAGCAGTAAAACAACCGCGTGCAGCGCCGAGGGGCACTGCTGCTGGCAGCCACTTCGCAGAGCCACCTCCCGCTCAGCCCTCCTCCTCCTCTTCCTGCACAGAAGAGTCCCAGCCCTTCCTGTGCCATCCAGTGGGTTGCACAAACTTACTCTTTCCGCCATGCTGCTATTTTTAAAAAGATGACAACCGACGAGAAGCGAGGCTGGTGTTTTGTGTTTTCCTTAGAAGGGAAGGGTGTCGACAATTTGACCGTGACTCACAAGTCAGCCAGACCTTACAGGGATGTCAAATGCAAGCCATCCTGGAATTCCTCCTCATTTATGAAGGTTATACTCAAATTCATCCCTCCTCCCATTTTTCTTGGTTTCCAGACACAATGCCAATCTCTTCACCTTAAGTCCTCACCTCTGAAGGATATGACAGGTGAAGAATCCCAGCTGGATAAGGCGTTTCAGAAGCCTTTAGGGGATGCACTTAAGACCCTCGTAACTTAATAGGGCTTACATCAAAGTACGTCGTTTCAAGACTTGGGGCAAGGACCATGTGAAAAGTGGAATCACCTCAACTTCTCCGATGAACGGACAGCATGGACACCTGCTGTCCCAGCTGTGTCCATCCAACATCTTGGTGATCGCCACTGCGACTCCCACCAGGGAAAAGTCACAGGAGAGAAATTATGTATTTTTGGTTGTCTTTCAGTATGATTTAGTAGCTGTAATCAAGGACAGCCAATGCTACATGACTAGTCTTCCTCCATGGACCACTAGTCAAGAGGCTGCTAAGAGGAATTTTAACTTCAAATAACTACTGGAATAAGAAGCTTAAGGAGAACTAGCTGTAAGAGCCTCCGACCCTTCCTGGATGTGCTATAAGTGAAATCTCCTTCAGTTGGCCTTCTTTCCTAACCAAATGGCACATTAATTTACAGAGAGCTAGAAACTGCTTTTAACTTCATTCTTACTATTCCAGTTGGGGTTGAAACCATCCAAAAAGTCACTGGATTATCTCTTCTAAGAAGAAACACCCATCAGCCTCACTTCAAAACATTGCCACTCTTAGCTACTCAGGGTCTAAGTCTCTTCCCAAGACAGCAGTGAACGTATTACAGATGCAGTCATCTCATCAGGACCTTTGGAAAGAGATTGAGAGTCTGAGCTATAACAACATCCCAGGTCCAAAGTTCGATAATCCAAGCAAGTGGCTGCTTTCATACACTTTGACCAGTCAGATTAGTTTAGGATGTGGTTCTTTGAGCTGACAACACTTCGGGCAAGGTAACAGCTATACTGGTGCGCGTGACAGGTCACATCAGCGCCTGAAGCAGGATTAAATGAAGTACTAATGAAGGAGGACATAAGCCCCAAGCCATCAGTGGAAAAGCCACAGTGGCCCAGGGCTAACATGCAGCACGCATCAGCACTTGCTGGTGGTAAGTCCAAAGATAACCAGTAACAAGGACGGGACGGACGAGTTTACCCCGATCTCCTCACTAGCCCCCTATGCTATTCTAGTCCCCGCGGTAGTCAAAGCAGCAGCAAGCAGCTGGGCACCTCTGGCCAGACTTGAATACAGACTCTCACCCGCTCCAAGTGGAAGCTGTCTGGGGCAGCCTGTGGCCAAAGAATATTTTGCAATTCGTCTGCATGTGAGAGAGCTTGGAAAAGGGAACTGTGGGGGATGGGAAAATGTGCACGCTACACTGGCTCTTCCATGCTCCCTAGCGGTGGCTCTAGGGCAAGGTTAGTCTCTGAGCCGGCTCTGAACTTCCTCAGCCATCAGTGAACACCAAGCGTTGCAGGAAGGAAGGGCTTTAAAAAGGTGGCTTGGGGAGAAGCCTGGGAATTTCCCTCATTCCTAACTCAGCCTCGATTCCCGCTGGGGCTGGGTCGAACGTGCCAGAACGGCCGCCTGCGCTACCTTTCATCGAGTGCATTCCCTGAACGTGATCCACGCGCTTGTTTCTGTGACAACTCCTGTCAAAGCACCGGGCATCCCGGCAGATGGCCACGTGACAGAAGCATTCGCCCCCTCTGGCTTTGGAGGCTGGGCATGCTAACTTGCCCTTCTTTTTGGAAATCATGACCAGGCAGGTACTTTTTCTTAGATAGTCTTCCAAACAGCCTCATCAGCAACAATTTGAAATGCAAGGGACAGCGCTGCCCTCTGGGTCGCTGGCAGAATGCCCATGAAAAGTCTAGCTCAAACCCAGATGTCTAGAGAGCAGCATCGTTGCTCTTAGCTCTGTAAAACATTGCCCTGGAAGGCCTGCTGCCGAGGGCAGTAATGCAAGGCAGTGACCTACCCCTCCTGCGTTCTGTTTTCGAACATCCAGAGCAGATGCCAGTCCTTTGACAGCCTGTGGATCCTCATACGTCACACTGCAACAAAGGAACACACAACACAACGAATATACATCCAGCCACCACCAAATGCCAGAGCAAACACACTGGGCTCTGATCTGATTGCTTTGTTTGCCATTGGAATCAGGCTGGTTATTTTTGCAATGGCCTAGCATGTGAAGTGCCTCCCAACAGAGATAAGAACACGCACTCTGTCCCGGGGAAATTACCCACTGATTTCAGGCATGATGCAGCAAGTCGTGCATGACACACAAGAGCAGGGGGTGCCAAGCCAGCAAAGGAATGATAATGCAACATTACCCAGGTGGGTGCAGAGCTATGCAGGAGGCAGCGATGTGTTTTTAAACAAGGAGACCAGACATCAGCATGCATCTTACAGATATTTTTATACCAAAGACCTTCTGGAGGGGATTTAAATGAGAGGTAACAGCTTTACAGACCAGCTCAGAAAAGACATGCAAACGTAGGGGACAGCACAACAAAGCACATGGAAAGGATTACAGGAGAAGGCAACATCAAGGGAGCCAGTAAAGGGACCAAAGCAGATGGAGAAAACATGTTTATGTGAAGATGGTGAGGAGAAGTGTGAATTTGATGTGGAGGGCGTGCCAGCAAAGCGATTCCAGGGAAGGGGAGGAAAGACTTCATTAGGAAGCTGACAAGTTAAAAGGAGTTGAGGAGCGATGAGTGGGTGGGGAGGTGGTCACAGTTATCAACAGGAGAGAGAAAGACACAAGGAGGCGGGAGAAAGCACTGAGTCGGTTCCTCAGATCCAGATCCTCTTCCGAGAGATTGGGCTCCTTAAACGTTACTCAAAATTACTCTTGAAGAGGTGATCTGAGGAATCCTTGCTTTTCCTCCAGGCAGGGAGAAGCAATCAACCTTCAAGCTAATAGCACCTACCCATAAATCAGCCACTGGGTGGAGCTCCATGACTAACTAGGTGTAGTGCTTTCCTTTCTGGTATTTCCTTCTCCTTCTACAAGATCCCCAATCTCCCGCTTGTCTTTACAGTGGACTTAGTTACACCTGGGTCCCTAGGGTGCAGGTTCACATTAATTTATTACAACAGACACTGGTAAGGGGCCTGGACTGAGACCCCTCTGCTACACACTTCACCAGGCTTAGAGAGATTCAGCAGTGCACAGTGCTAAAATTGCACCTCTGCATACAGCATCTGGAGCAGGGTGGCTACACTCGCAGACTGCACTGTACAGTCCTGCCTCCAAGGACTCCTTGGATGTAATTCACTGGCTGAAATCTTCCAGACTTGGGCTTTGCTCAAAGAAGACTTTCCCCCTAGCAGAACAGAGGAGCTGAATGGGATCACAGGTAACTAAGAGGTGAAGGGTGAAGCTGTTTTAGCAGGTTGACAAGGTATTGGTGCAATCCCTGTCATAATACTTGGGCCTCCAAGTCTCTGATGCCACCAGCATTTCCTTGAATTTGAGCCAGGAAGAGTGCTGGTGGGGAGACAACCATGGGATACATTATTTTGATGCTGGGAGGAGATCAATGAATTAAAGCAGTTGTGTTCAACCTCTGGCCAGCAGGCTGATTCCAGCCCCTGGGGCCATGTCTTCTGGGCCTCTAGGGCTCCCCATAAATCCAGAAATTTGGCAGCAGAAACACAGTGGCAGCATGAATTGCTGCAGGTTCCAGATCTAGAGCAGTTAACAACACCACCACTCCCTGCTGTCATTGTTTTGGACCTGCGGGATCCCCATGAGCTGGAATACATGCACCCTTGTGTCAGCGTGTGGGGTTTGCTCCCTGCCTGGATCTGGTGTGCCAGACTGCACCCACAGACTGACCCTACTGACCTTATGCTGGATCCAGCCCCAGGACTGAACCATGGCATCTGGCCCACTGACCTTCCC